ATTAACGTTTGCCCATGTGGTAGGTGTGAAGGGGACCTGGGTGTGGTTTCAATTTGCACGCTGTCGCTAATGAGGGTGAGCATCCCGCCATGTGTCTGCAGCCATGTGCATTTCCTCTTCTGTGAAATTCCTGCCCACATGTCCCGCCCCGGAGCACGTTGTTTTCGTCTTTGCAATCCTGGATTTCTCAAGCACGGCCTGGCCGCGAGCCTCTGCCTGGAAGCCTTCTAGGGCTCCCCGTGGGCCTCGGGGAAGCCCACGCCTGGCCCTCACCCCTGCGGGCGGCCTAGCTGGGGAGCCCAGGGCGGCAGTTTGGCTCGGCTCCCTGCCCTCTGCCCTGCGGTGCTCCCACCTCCCCCGGCATCCTCCCCGCTGTCCCTGCCGCTGCTTTTTCTCATCCTCGGGTCTCAGCTGAAACCTCCCTTCCTCCAGGGAGCCCTCCAGGCTCTGAAGGCTCAGGCCACAGCTGCGGGCCGCTCGGCAGGCTCTGCGCTGATGGCAAACACCCCGGGGGCTGAGACCGGGACTGCGCTGCCCACGCTCCCCTCCCCAGTCCCTGGGACTGCGGCTGCGCAGAAATAGCGACCCAAACTCCAAGAAAGGCGAGCAAAACGGAAAGCTGGGGAGGAACAGTTCAGGGCTAGCAAGAAGGGCAGTGCTCAAACACGGACCCCAAGAGGGACCCCGGGACCATGAGGGGTCCAAGGAGGGTGGAGGAGGGGATCGCAGAGTTCAGAGTCGGGGAGCGAGGGTTCCGTCCTGCTTCCCCGGGTGACACGCGCTGGACGGGTGTCGTGTCCTTCGCGCTTCCGTTTCCGCCCCCAACAGAGGGAGCCCTGGCAGCCCTCCTGTCACACACGGTGCCCCTGGACGCCCGGCCTGAGGGCTGACCCACCGTTCCAGGCACAAGGGGCAGGCCGACCCCGGACCAGACAAAGGGGCCTTGTTCGCCGGCTCTTCGCGGAACTTCCCTGCCCCCCAGCTTGGCCCCAGCTGAACAAAACCAGATGCCAACATGTGGGAGGAGGAGGCGGGTGGGCAGGCGGCATCCCAGCGCCCCTCTCTGGGTCTGGGCCCCCGCCCAGAGTTCCAGATGCCCCGGCGCCGAGGGGAGCTCCCCCACCCCTTCCCACCCCAGAGGCTCTGCCTCCTGCCAGGCTTGTGCCAGGCGTCCAGGCAGTCGCTGCCACCACGCGCAGCTCACAGCCCAAACCCTGGGGAACCTCAGGGCTTAGGGTCACCCACCCGCTCAGGCTCACAGAAGGGACAGAGGCTGCCTGAGGTCCCTGCCCGGGACACCCCCGCCCAGAGGCCCACGGGCCAGGACTGGGAATTCCCCCAGGCCCACCTCCATCGCCCCTGAAACGCCGGCACAGCCTGGCCTCCCTCAGCCCGACAGAGGACGGAGAGGGACAGACGCCGCGGTCCAGTGTGCCAGACACGTCAGGGGATGACGTTCGCCACCTCCCGTCCAGAAGTCTGCCTGGTGCCCCGCGCCCGCCCCCTCCACCTCTCTGCATCGCAGCCAGCACAGCCCCGTCCACCACAGCCACCCACGCCACTGCCACCCATGAGCTGCGTGTCTCCTCTCGCCGCACCTTCCTGCCCTCCTCCGTGTCTCCAGGGGGCGAGAGGGGTCCTTGCGGCCGCAGCTCCCCAGACTGGGAGCCGGGACTGTCCCGACGGTGTGGACGGGCAGGCTAGGCAGGCACACAGGCGCAGTCGCTGTGATGCTGCTTGGGGCCAAAGACGTCAGGTGTAAGTGACCACGTGCAGACCCAGCTTTTGTCTACCAGGTCCTGGAACATGTGAAATCGACCTAAGCGCCTAGACGTTAGCAGCGGGGACCCCAGGTGGCTGCGCCCGGAAGCAGGGAGCAAAGAGAGGACCTTTGGGGAGAGAGCAGCTGCGCTGTGGTTCTGCACCGCAGGAGCTCTTGAACCCTCGCCCCCAAGCCAAATCTCCAGCAGACTGCGTGGGCCTGCAAGGAGAGGATGCAGCCACCTCCTGCAGCTGGTGTCATCTCCTGCAGGGGTCACAGCTCTGCACAGCAGGAGGACAGCAGGGGGGGTGACCGGGGCTCCTGCAGGCCATCAATTGGTCCCAGCGGCTTCAGCAAGTCCAATGGTCCCCAACAGGGGCCTGACTATGTTGCCCGACTATGTTGCCCACTCCACACCCTAGAGGGATGCCTGGCTACGGGGGGACCACGGCACTGCTGGGGACAGGAGCTGAGCTGGTGACGTGGGCCCAGCTGTATCAGATGCCCAGACCAGGCCCTCTGTGTGGGACGCCTGTCTGCATCAGCTTGCTGGCCGTGGTAGCCGCTCCCTCCATGCACCAAGGCTGCTCCCCAGAGGCCAGAGAGAGGCCACTAGACTCACAGCCCAGGCTCCTCCAGCCACCTCAGGCCTCAGCGAGAGACAGCTCACCCTCCCCTGTGTGTCCCCGGGGCTTTTCTATCAGAATACTAAAAGGATTCCCCAAAGACAATGGCTGGACAGATGGAAGGAAAAGATTCTTTCCCTTCTGTCCTTCCGGAGCGTTTCGGATGCTCAGTAAACTGGTGGTGCTGGATTTTAACTGCTGCGTGAAGAAACAGTAGAAGGCTATTGGAGGTTTATGGGACAAGGGGATTGGCTGTGGTCCCCCCCCACCCCAAGAGTAAGGGCAGGGCTCTGCACACCCAGGTGACGCTGCTGATGGCCACAGACTTCAGAGCCCAGGATCATGAACGCACCCTACACTGCAAAGCCCACCTAGGAAGCTGTGTTCCCCATCCCAGCCAAACCCTTTGGTCTCCGGGCCCCGCCCAGCACAGAGGGCCAAGCGCTGAGCCTGCTCATGGCTGAGAGAGTTGATTGAGCAACAGAATGTCCCACACAGATAAGAAGAAAAGACCGGGCTGTAGCCTCACCCAGGGACACAGATACTAACTCCTAAACAAACACAGAACACCGAACCCAGTTGGCTCCAGAAAGACAGTATGTGGCTTGCAAGTGACACAGCTCCAGGTTTGGCTCCCCACAGAGGAGCCAGGCATGGGGCACCACACTCACTGCAAAGAGAGGGATCATACAAGCATTGTCATCAGTACAGAAAATATGTGTTCGACACAAGCCCATGTCTCCTGTCTTAGCTGCTCTCTCGTCACTGGGACACAACATCCAACACCCACAAGGCCAAGGAAGAGAGGTCTATTTAGGCTCACAGTCTGTAAAGGTTTCAGTCCATAGTCGGCTGGCTCCAAGGCAGGACGGCATGGCAGAGGGGCCTGGTGGAGGAGAACTGCTCATGGCATGGCGGACAGGAAGTAGAGAGGGATCAAGGGAGGAGGAGGGAGGTGAATCCTTCCAGGCCACGCCCCCAGTGACCCACTTCCTCCCTCCAGGCTTCACCTGCCAACATCACATTCAGCTGTAACCTCAGCGCTGATCTCATCCACTGATGATTTTCACGCCTCCATGATCCTGTCACCTCCCCAATGCCCTGCCTGTGAGCGTGTGAGGCTTTGGGGCACATCTAGATAGAAACCATCACATCTTCTCACAAATTAGTAGGGGTGGAAAGGAGCTTCGTTAATCCAACAAAGCTTAATACACCGTCCTTCCTCGGGGTTTGAGGAGGCTGGGTGCCAGGGCCCCTCTCAGACACCGAAATCCACTAAGGCTCAAATCTTCACCAGCTCCCAAGCCTGCCTTTCCCTTCCTCCCGTGAACATCTGCCACTTTTTCAAAAACTTGTGGTAAAATACACATAAAATTGACTGCAGCAACCACCTTTAGGAGGTAACTCCACAGCAAAAGGCTCATTCCCAGCACCATATCGCCGTCACCACCAGCCACCACTAGAGCTTTTCCAGGGTCCCAGACTGAAACGCTGTCCCTGTCCACCTTCAAGGCTTCCTCCCTTCTCCAGCCCCTGGCACCACTGTGCTACATCCTCCCCATGAGTCTGACTGCTCTTGGGCCCCCATCTGAGTGGGGTTGTGCAGCCTGTGTGCTTGAATGTTTGCCTTATGTCACTCAACATAACATGCTCAGGGCTCATCCACATTGTGGCCCATTCCCTTCTTTTTTAGGGCTGAGTAATATTCCACCATGCAGGTAGACCTCATTTCATTGTTCCTCTCCTCTATCTGATGGACCCTTGAGCTGTATCGCTGTTTGCCTCTTGGTGACTAATGCGGTAATGAACATGGATATGCAAGTGTCTCTTTAGCTCCCTGCTCTGTGAGGTGTATCATTTGTGCTATTTCCTGCCTAGAAAAATCGGCCTTGAGCCTGGCTCAGGCTCTGGGCCCAGGGAGCACTGGCCCAGAAGAGCCAGGGCTGTGTCCAAGAAGAGGGGGCGTGGTGGGTGGAAGAGCAGGGAGCGGTGTGTTGTTGACGTCAGTTGGCCTTGGCTAACCTCTGCAGCAACCTGGAGCCATGCCACTATGCATCCGTTTGCCCAGCATTATTATTGTTATTATTGTTATTGGGGTTTTGAGCTAGTGCTCCCTATATAGTGCAAACTCACAGAGATTCCCCTGCCTCAGCCTCCCGAATGCTGGGATGACAGTGTGCATCGCCACGCTTGGTTACCCAGCATATCTTTAAAGTCAGAACTGCTGAGGACTCTGTTCCTCGGCTTCTCCTGAGGAATCAGCTGTCCACTGGACCTGATCCCCCAGCCAGGGGCAGCAGCAGGTCACTTCCTTGGCCTGCAGCCTGCTGTCCTCTGCAACCCATCCCCCGTCCCAGAAGCCTTGGAGTTTGTGAGGCCTTTGAAACTGGGTTCGGGGTCCCGCTTCATGGCTGGGAGAGCACAGCTCAGAGGCTGAACTGAGACTTGAACCCCCAACTCTCGAGCCACAAAAACAGAGCAGGATGGGACCCTGTCATAGCAGAGGGCTGGGAGCTCAGGCGGGTGTGGTAACTCACTACCACCACCCTTTGCCTCAACACCCTTTTCTATCTCTTCCTTGGGTGAGCTCCTACTCACCCTACAGAACCCACCTCAGGCTTCACAGGCCCTGCCCCAGACCAGTGTGTCCTCCGACTGTTGCAGGGCGGGGTCAGTTCTGCGGTGTGTCTGAGCTCTGGAGTCCAAATCAGGGCCTGATGGAAAGCAAGGCAAAATGAGAATCAATAGACCAGTGAGGAGACAGAGGGAGTGGAAGGGAGGAGCAGAGGGGCCGGGGGCGGGGTCAGCCTCATCTGACCTGACAGTGCCTGGAAATGAGAGAAAGTGGTGAATCTCAGCAGGGGAAGCAGGAGAATGGGACCCCAGGGAACCCCAGAGCAAAGCCAGCCAGGAAAGACCCCAAGGAAAAGGACCGAGTGTAAGGGAGGGGCCGAGGGGCAGTGAGGTTGCCCAGCCAGGGTCACCCCTTAGCCTTCCTCTTCTGCTTCTGCTTCCAAACTGTTCTGCCCTGGGGCTAGACAGGGGCCAGAAGAGAAAGGAGGAGCCCATGGGGCTTGGACACAAGCCTCACGAGCTGCAATATCAGGGCAGCAGGCTGTGCATCTAGAAGCAGTAGCCAAGGGTCATATTACCAGAGATACAACACGCAGGAAGTAGGAGAGGAGGGTGGTTTGGGCAGACTTTTCCATCCTGCCCTCCTTTGATATCTCATGGGCCCCTATCCTTCCTGACCTCTGTTCTGGTCACTTCCCCCAATTCAGAACCCTGCCCCAGCCCTGCCTCACCTCCACCCTGAGACCTAGGGCTTACAGCCTCCTTCTGTGTGACACACCTGTTTCTCAAACCCGACGGCTGCAGCGGCCCCTTTGTGCTTCTTCTGACCATGGCTGACCTGTAGTGTTGGACAGGTCACCTGGCCAGAGTCCTGCTCTCTGCAGGACCAAGTTGTTCACACCGATGCTCATGAGATGAAAATATTTTGTGTATGAACGAACAGGTGCACTTCACAAGCCAAAGCCCTTCACCCTCAAGTCTGCGTGTGTCTCCCTGATTGCATTTTCAGGTCGTTTATTTATTTTTGTGAGGCAGGGTCTTGCTAGTATTTCAGGCTGGCCTTGAATTTGTGGCGAGCCTCCTGCCTCAGCCTCGCAAGGTGTGGGATGACAGGTTGCAGAGCTGGAGTTCTGCAATGCCAGTTTCCTCCCAGCTCACATCTTCCAAGCAGGCGAACATGAGGCAGGCACCATGATTAGAACTCCACGATTCAAGGCCAGGAGGCGTAGTTCAGCTTTGGCCTCCCTTCCACTGCACAGAGCGTGCGTGGGAGGATAAAAAGTAGGCTCTGGGTCAGGTTCATCATCAACTGCAGTCGCCCTTCACTCACTGTCCCCTCCCCCCCCATCCTTACAGCACAGAGCCACGGCGCTGAGGCAGGGTCCTTCCTGCTGCCCCAGCCCAGCCCTCCCTCCACCACCCAGACCCTGCACCTGGGTCATCGTCCCCTCCAGCTCCAGCCCAGCTTGGTCCTTGCCCTGACTGAACTCCAGACCCCGCATCTGCAGGCGGCTGAGTCGGAGGCCCTTGAGGGTGAGGACTTTGCTGGTTCTGCCCTGGTGCCCCACAGGGACCCTCGTGACAGGGTCTCTCACTTTCTATCCCAGGTGGCTGGGAGCTCCCTGTCCCCACCGCAGAGAGAGCCAGGTCCCCATCCCTCGGGGACACGGTGCCCAATGGGCAGCAGTGCAGATCAGACAGGGCCTGCTCACCAGGCTGGCAACCCTAATCCCGTGGGCCACCATGGGTCCCCAAACCGCCCTCTCACAAGAGGACTCTGTCTTGCTTCCCCCACCCCTGGAAAGCAGGAAGTTTCCCGGGCCAGGCCCTGTACCAGCAGCTTTGTCCCTCGGGAGGAAAGAGGGCCGGTCCTGGCTTTGTATCTAAGCGGATCAGCTCCCCACACCAGTGGCCACCATGCAGACTTGCATTTGTTCCCGTGCCTCTCTGAGTGGGGGACATAGCGTCATCCTACTTCCTAGGACAGACTTAAGCACTGACGGAGACCATGTCCCCACCCTCCCAGATGCGCGTCTGGCGCCACCAGCCTGGTAGGGAGCCGCGCCTCCGCCCAGGTGCTCCCTGGACAAAGTGCCAATCCCCCCTCCTCCCTGGATTCTTATCCTGCTTATTTTCCCTCCTGACGCTTGTCGGTATATTATACCCGCGGTTCTCAAGTATTTTGTTCTCAGGATCCTTTCATTAAGGTTGCTAGGTGGATGACATAAGTAAAAATACAGATTACCCCGTTCGATCTGAGCTGCAGATGGATGACAAATAAATTTTTTAAGTAGAAGTGTGTCCTCGATATTGCACAAGACACATATTTTATCTGGCAGCCTCACCCTGCACATCGTTAGACATTCCTGAGGACCTCGAAAACCTTCAGTTCCCATACACTGTGGGTACTGATATTCACTGTATTAGACACTCAAATGGAAAAACTGTTCAAATACTATATTTATTTACACATTTATTTTTCCAAATGATAAACAGTACATGTTCACATAAATAATGTTTCATGAAAAATAGTGGCATTTTTTTCAAAACAACAAAGTCAGCAAGAAGAGTGGTATCTTTTTTCATTTTTGCAAATCTCCTTAGTATCTGGCTTAATTGAAAACAGCTGGCTTCTCAGCACTGTTGCTTAGTACAATCTGTTAAAATTGGTGACTTTTGTTGAGAAAATCTGGCCTTAATCTGCAGTCAGAAAGGGTGAAATATTTTAGTAAGTCTTCTCTGATAATTATGAATATTTTTCTTTGCTCTAACACCAAAACTTAACAAGTGGTAATTTCTTCAACTTGGGTTGCTATGGAGTGAAAATTTCATAGTTTGTTACGTGAAAATCCACTAATCTAGCTGGTTGATTAAATGGGTCTCTGATCCATGCAAGGTTTTGTAACAACATTCATCGGTCATTTGGAGGATATTTGTCCACGGATCTCCCAAATGCTGACGTATTTCATCACTCGGTAAGTAAACACCAGGCCTGCTGTTGTCGCTCCCAATCTCATCAGAAAAGTCTTTAAATATTGGCTCCTGCTGCCGATACAAGTTTTCCAGTATTCAAATGTTCACTTGACAGCGGGAGTTGTGTCCTTGACATCCGGCCCGGCAGGGCTTCTCAAAGTGGCAGCTCACCCCAAGAAAATAGCCACCAAATGCCAAGTCTGAATAACTGCAACTTGTTGGTCATTCTTGCAAGTTACAAAGAAAAGTGCTCCATAAAAAACAAGCCGGTTGAACTGGCAACTCAACGCAGCTCCCAAGCTTTCCCCAGAGTCCTGGGCGAGCTCTAAGTCTCTTCCCACTGCTCCACCCAGAAGGCTTAGATGCGTCCCCAAGGCTCGGGGTCAAATCAGCTTTCACCCTTCTTTGTGGGCACATGGCAAGGGTGTGGTTTCGAAGACCCTAATGGCCAAGGACAGTTGTACTACTCCCCGATTTGTGCTTTCTCCACCTCCAGTCCATGTTTTATTTTATTTTGAGACAGGGTCTCACTAAGTTGCCCAGGCTGGCTTCAAACTTGTGACTTTCCTGCCTCAGCCTCAAGTAGCTATAATTACAGGCATGTGCCACTGTGGCCCTCTTGAAAATAAGTGATATTAACTCAAAACAGACTTGCTGAGCACTGCGCCACTCTCTGCTCCAGGCACCAGGGATGCAACAGGTAAGAAGGTACTAGGATTCTCCAGTGTCGTGGGGCTAACTGCTTCGATTTAAGGGACCCTGGCAGACGCAAAAACCAAGACATCCACAGCATGGGGAAGGAGTGCTACACAGCGGGAGGGAGGGAGATGAGCCAGCACACGGTGGGCAGTCAGTTAGGCTCACCCAAGAAGGCAGCAATTCAGCAAAGACCTGAATCAGGGGAGGGAGAAGCCACCAGGATGTTTACAGGAGGGCCAGCCCCGTGCAGAGGCCCGGGCGCTTCCCGTGTTAGCCCCCAACAGACAACCGCACAGAGCACTCCGAGACCCCTGCCGGAAGTTCCTCAAAGAACTAAAATTAGAAATTCCATAGAGCCCAGTTCTCTGCCTGCTAAGTGTCTTCCTCAAAAAGCTCAAGACATCATGCTACATGGCCATCAACAGACAACCAACCGGACAAAGCAAATGTGGTCCCTTTGCATAATGGGCCACAACTCGGCCGTAAAGATGGACGCATTTGAGACATTTGTAGGAAATGGGTGCGCTTGGGGAACAGGATGTTGCGTGAAATGTATCCGACACAGAAGCTCAGATGCTGCGTGGTACGTCTTATTTGAGCAAGGCAAAGTACAGACAAGGAGGGCTAGGAGAAGACGAGGAGATGGATCTCTTGCACACGGGAAGTTCAGGAGACCGAGGGTAGGGCTGGGAGGGAGGGGGAGCAGAAGTAAGTAGAATAAAGACAGCCATGTATAGAACCTCATAACCTTGATGCATGTAAACATTATATGTCATAAACATGAGATCATTTTGGGGGGATTGAAAAAGAGTCTCAATATGTAGTTCAAGTTGGCCTTGAACTCACAGTGATCTTCCTGCCTCAGCCTCCTGAGTGCTGAGATTACAGGCATGCACTACCAGGCCCAGCTAAGATTAATAATATCAATAAGAAGGAAAATGACACAAGGGGGGTTAGAGGAGGAGGGAGGGAAAGGGGATTGAAGAGAAGAACCAAGCTGTAGTGTGTGCGCACGCACCTCTCCCCAAGGTAGCTGTGCACCGCATGTATTGCAAACGCATACTAATAAAATACCAGCAAACGACTCTGTGTAAGAAACGTTTAAAATCAGAGAGGAAACCTTCTTGAGCGCTGACCATGTACGGGGCACTGACCCAAACTCTCGGGCGCTTATTCTCCTGAGAAGAGAGAAACAGCGGTACCAACAGGTGGCAGTGAATAAATCCGCTGCGTGTCTGGGAGCTATCAGTGAACAAAACCAAACACAAGGGACAAGAGAGGGGCACATCGGGGAGAGGTCGGCCGCTCAGAGAGGCCAATGGGGCAGGGGGTGCTGGTTTGTCCCTGTCACAGCTTCAAAGGACGGCACCCCCGGCGACGGCAACCATACCACCTTGCAGATAGGGGAGAGGATGCCGTGCCCACAGGGCCATAGGCACACAGACCCACGGCTGTCGTTTTTATCTGTAGCAGTTTCGGTGCTGAACCTTCCTGAGAACTGACATGCTCACACTGACCGAGAAGCACACACCTCTGCCCTGCATGCCTGTGTCGGGTTCTCTCAGGCACCACGTGGCCCACCGTTCACAGTGGACCCGTCTGTAGCATTCACAGTATTCAGACACTGTGCAGCCATCAGTGGAATCAGTTTTAGAGATTTTCATCACCCCAGAAGAAATCCCATGTCCACCCAAGACCACCCACCTTTCCCCCTCTCTCCAGCCCGCCCCTGGCCTGCTTCCGGGATGCTCTATCTCCATGGACGTGGACCCTCTGTGGCCTTTGGTGACCGGCTCTGCTCACTAGCACAGTCTCCTTAAAGTTCACCCATGTGGCAGCATGTGACAGTACCTCATCCCTTTTGCTGGCCAGACAGCACCTTTGGTATGGACAGGCCATGTCTCCTTTATCCACTCATCCGTTTTCTTTTGTTTTGTTTTGGTTTGGTTTTTGTGAGACGGAGTCTCCCTGTGTAGCCCAGGCTGGCCTTGAACTCACGGTGAATACCTCCTGCCTCAGCCTCCTGAGTGTACCACCCTGCCCGCCCTATTCACTTACCCATGGGTGCACAGTAGTCTGCTCCCGCTTTTTGCCACAGTGTGTTTTGCACAAAACTACACTGTTGTTTTGCTGCCTCTACGTTTCCAAGGCAGGTTACTTCCTCACTATAATAAAACAGTCACGAGCCACAGCCTCCAAGTGACAGGTTTGGGGCCACCACAGGTAAAGTGTGGCGCAATTCTCCAGGACCCGTTTCCCAAGTTTTGTGAGGAATAATTCCTAGCGGACACAGAGGGCACGGGAAGTGGTCATCTCCTCCCTGCCATCCCGTATGCCCACCACGGGTCCCGCAGGGCCCGACGGGAACAGTCTGCTGTCACCCCTGAGGCTCATGCTGGCTGCTTGGGTCCTGTGCGGCTGTCCCGGAGGGTGGTAGCCCTGAGCCCTGCTGTGGAGCCAGCCATCTGGGCAGATGTCCTAGCCACACGGTCCGTGCCCCCATCAGAGATGTTGGCCTTGGTTTAGGCCTGGATGTCTGGGACCTTCCTAGGGCACCAGGGAGCAGAGACAGGCTGTTGGGGAGGGCAGGTATCTCACTGGGCTCACCTCCACAGCCCCTGGGCAACACCCCTTGCCTCCTGCCCCAGGAATTCCCTGGGCCCCAGAAGTTCCAGGAAGAGCCTGGAAAATGCTGCAGTTAGGAAAACTGAGGCCCTGGAAGTGCTGGTTGCATGCTGGGGTCACACAGGGAGACCACCAAGGAAAAGCACCCCCGTCCGGTTCCTGGGTCCCCGTGTTCCCTGCAGCGGGAGCGAGGCTTTGCGGATGCCAGCATCTCCCACGGGAGGCCAAGGAGGGGAAAAAAGACACTCACTGTTGTGAGGTTACTGTTTTGTTCTTTGTTTTTTCCATTTTTAGCCCAAGCGCTGTGCCAGACCCTGGGAGAGACTTTAGCCAACAGCAGGCTGTTTTTAACTCACAACAGCTGAGGGAGGGAGGCAGCTCAGGCCCATTTCACAGACAGGGAAACTGAGGCTCAGAGAAAAAAGGTAACCAACTCAAATCTAAGCAGCAAGACAGGGAGAGGGTCCCAGGTCAGCCTGCCCCTAAATCTAGATCCTTTCCGCTGCCCAAGAGAAGAGGTGGCTTTGAGGGAGAGGAGGAAAGGCCAACACAAGAAGGGCCCTGTCCCTAGTATGCCCGGCTTCTAGCCACTGCCACTTGCCATTTCTGAAGGTCCTGAGTTCCTGTATGCCCCAGCCCTTGCACACGCTGTTTCTAATTCAAGGCTATATTCATCACCCTTCAGGTCTTAGCTCAGATGTCTCTTCCTCCAGGAAGCCACCCTGGGCTGGAATGTCTCCCCAGCTCTGGGTCCCTGTGTGTACTTCCTTAGCAGCTCTGACGGTGTTCTGAGCCTCCCTAGGGAGAAGCCCGAGGCTCAGCTCCGGGTACAGTGGGAGGCCTCACAAACGGAATGGCCAAGCTTCTTCTCGGGGGACGTGCTGACCCCAGCTTTGATTCTCAGCTCTCAGGCCTGCGTCTGGGGATGAGGAGGTGTCCGGGTGTCCCCTGGGGAGCCAAGCCCTCTGTCCCCAGCCCCCACCCTCTTCCTCACATCTCCCCAACGCTGCACTTCAGGGAGTCTCGGCCAGCTCCAGAGATGCCCAAAGCAGGGAAGGAGGCCCACGTCTGCCTGTGCTGCCCGGGTGCCTGGGGAGGCGAGCAGGTGGGAGGCAGGCTGGGAACGCCAGCCTGGGAGGACGCGAGGGCGCTGAGGGGCACTGCCGGGTGTGAGCGGTCCGGGGCGCTGGGGAGGCAGCACAGACCGCAGCCCACTCTGGAGGGTGAGTGTCTTGGACGCAGCAGTCTCGGAAGGAGCAGGGCAGCGGCTCCTTCACCCCTCCTATCTTCACAGGGTCTGCACCCCGGGGCAAAGCCTGGACCCTGGCAAAGGAGGGAACTTGGGGCCAAAGGCCTGGGAGGCACAGGGGCCTTCTCCCTCACCCAGGAAGCTGCTCCCCGGGCCCACCTTGGGGGGTGCCCCGACACTGACCTGGCCGTGGCCCGGCTCTGACACCCTCCTCACATCCTCAGCAGGTGCCGCCACCCTCCTGGCCTAGCCTGGTGGGGCCCTGAGAGTGCAGTCACCGCAGGGAGCTCACTACATAACCTTTGTTCCCAGCACCCTTCAGGAAAACACTGGCTCACTACCTGCAGGCTTCCCCAGCCTCAGCCCCAGTGGGCTGCACTGGGCCCTGGCCTCGGCCTCCACAGCAGATGGCCCCTGTCTACCTCATGCCCGAGAGGCCTGGCAGAGCCCTGGCTGAGCTGCTACCCTCCCACAGTCTGGCCTGCGTCCCCAGGCTGGCACTGCTCGGGAGAGCCGTCGAGCCCTGGCCTGGAGGTTGTCAAGGACTTGGAGCCAGTGGCCTCCCCAATGCCACCTGTGCCTGCATCCCTGGGCTCTCTGGCCTCGCCCCAACTGGATCCCGTGAGCACAAGATGGCCCCCTTTTCCTCCGCTGTTTACCAGGCAGCATTGCTTTCCCGTTTTACAGAGCAAGAGGAGGAAGACACAAAAGGGACTTGCCCAAGATCACAGAGCCAAGAAGAGCCACAGGCAGGATTCGAACCTAGGACCTGGCCTCTGCCTCCTGCAGGGAGCGCCCCAGCTTGGGGCCTGAGTCTCTCTGCTGGCAGCGCCTCCCGCCTACATCAGGAGGCCGAGGGTCTGAGTGCCCCTGACCCGGGCTCATGCTCCTCAGGCTCTATACCTGGGCTGCTGCCTCAGCCTCCCTTGTTGCTAGGGAGCCTGGCTTTGCGTCCCTCTGGGTTCCGTAGACAGCACCCACATGGCCCGGTCTGCGGCCACCCCATCCACTTTGCGGGATATACCGGGGCCTGGGACGAGCTCCCCTGTGCCCACTCTGGGTGAGGAGGAGCTGTGGGGGGGGGGGTGGGCAGGGCCACACCAGCCTTCCCTGTGAGACGGGACAGTTGCTTCCGTTTCCCTAATGCCGGTGGGGGTGAGGTTCCAGCCCGTGTTGAGCCTAGGTCAGTGCCTGCCCGAGGCCGTGCCTCAGGGCTCCCCGCCACTCTTTCACCTGTGGCTGTGGGCTCCCACGACACCAACGCCCGCAGCTCTGCACCTGGGTTTCAGCGGGGCCGAAAGAGGGCAGCCCTCAGACAGGGTCAAGGCCTCACCCGGGTCGCCCAGCACACAGCCGCGGTCAGCCTGGCGCTGTGCTGGTCCGGGAGCTGTGGGAGCCAAGGGCCGGGTGTGGCCGGACGGCAGGCGAAGCGCTCCTTTCCAAACAACAGCCAGATGTCTCGGGGACAGCTTGTTCCTGCAGCTGGGCCCTGGGGAGCCCGGCCTGGCCACGCCTCAGCTCCGCTGGGCCTGACATCTGCCCAGCTGTGCCGGTGACTCAGGCCAGCCCTGGCCCTGGCCAGATGTTCTCCTGTATGATGGGGGAGGGGACCTGGCGATATCCAGGGGCCCTCAGGCCATCGCTCTGGTGGGTGGAGCTGGGAGGCCCTCCCAGGGGTCGGAGGAGGGGAGGGAGGGATCAGCCACCTACCGGGCTGCTCTGTGTGTAACTGTGCGTCCGTGAGACTTCACAACGGTGTCCACGTCCACGGGCCACAGAGGCCAGCTCGGAGGTGAGCCTGGCTCTCGCTGGAGGGACTGATGACAACGAGCACAACCACCACTTACTTTTTTTTTTTAAGACAAGGTCTCGTTGTATAGCTCAGGCTGCCCTCGAACTCATAGCGATCCTCTTGCCTCAGCCTCCCAAGTACTGGGATTCCAGGCATGCACCACCACACTGGGCATGACCTCTTATTTCTGAGGCACTGGCTAGGGAGAGTACATTGTCTAGTGCTTTGCAAGGAAAAACTGATGTGTGTCTTCCTCACTGAGATGGACAGCTCCTGATTCTAGCCTCAGTTTACAGATGAAGCAGCTTAGGCTGGGAGGGGGGTCACTCCTCAAGGTCAGGTCGGGCGGATGCTGACCCTGCGTCCGGGTCACTGCTGCCGGGCCCCTGGGTGAAGGGGTGAACCTTGCTCCTCCCCTCACCACCCGAAGCTCCAGGTGGAAAAGCACTTGTGTTGGCAGGGCCAGGAGCCTGGGGGAGCCGGAGCTCCATTCTGGATGTCCCCCCATGCCAGGCAGCCCGAGGGAAGCCTGGAAGGGGCCCAAGGGACACTGGGGCGCAGGAGCCCCGCTCCCACAGACTCAGAGGGGACGTGCCTGGGACAGCACAGTGGGGAAGCTGTCTCCAACCCTGGCCTCCCCACCATTGTCCCTGGCGTGGCCAACAGGCACCCTGCGATTTCCCTCCCCACTGACCCAGGAGCAGGGTTTGCAGAACACCCAGGGAGTGCCAGCAGACCTCCAGGACTGGGGGCAATGTCAGGACAGACCCGGCCCTGTCCTCTCCCGGCTGGCAGGAAGAGCAAAGAGATCCGCAGCAGCCAGAGCGTGGTTGCCTGTCGCCGAGGCCAGGGAATTCGGGGTGGTGGGTGAGGAGACCGAGGCTCCGAGAGGCCAGGCGAGTGCCCACAGGGAGATTCTGACTTGGGGACCGAGCTCTGTGCCACCCTGAGGTCAGGGGCTTCTCACTGACTACCTGCCATGCACAAGGTTGTCCTGCACCCACCCAGTCCTCCTGCGGCCCCTCAGGCGGGGGTCAGGTGCCCATTTCAGAGAGGGGCAACTAAGTCTCCATTTGGGGGTCTCCTGTCCAGGGTCCCCTAGCTGGGAAGGCCCTGACCATACGGCTGCCGAGCCCATGGCTTCCCAGACCCTTTCTGGAAACTCCTGGCATTCAGATCGCAGGGCAGAGCTGCCTGGCAGAGTCGGGCCAGGCCCTGCCGCAGCCATCCTCCCTCCGCACCAGGGATGCTGGGCCCCGGGCCCCGGGCTGGTGACACCCTTCTCCCTTCCCAGTGACACTGTACCGTCCAGCGTCACACACAGATGCGCCTCCAGAGTGAGTTCTGGCCCCTCCTTCATGCAACCTATAATTTAGCCCTTGTAAGAGGAAACAAGTCCCCAGGGCGTCTTTTCTGCGTTCCTAAGGGAGCCAATTTTAG